AAGCACAAAGAATGTATTTATTACATTATCTGAATGAAGATAAAAGGTCAGTCAATGGGTAGCTTCTATCTTAACTAAAAGGGTGCATGACCTCAAAAGCAGCCTACAAATAATCAAACAAAAAACCCCAACCAGATAATGTTGTTTCACAATTATTTGCCTCCCATACATTAAAATGTCCTAAATTTACTTAAATTAGCAGAAAAGACAAGTGTACATGTAATTTGTACCAGGACAGATGAGAAAGGGAGCATTTAAGGAGATGATTAGTGGTGGTTTACAATTAGTATTGGGTTAAAGAGGAGGAGTAGGGCACAATTTGTTGCCAATATGCTGTTAGATGCTCTCAGCAGATACGAGGGTATACTGTATTACAGAAATTAAATCAGTTTTGGAACAGTTATGGGTCACCTAGCTCAGGCTTTGGCTTGTGCTGTTTTCTAATTAAACATTTAGAAAAACAAGAGTTTATGATTGAAATGTATTGTTGAGGTAAGTTCCCAGAGCTGACACTCTGAGCCCCCAGCTCTGCACTGCCAACATCCCCTGGCACGTACCCTCTTCTCCCTCTTGCAGTACCAGACCAGTGGGCTGTGCCAGAGAGGGGCCAATGAAGAGGGATTCTGATTTCCTCTTCCCCAATATCCAGCAGGAGCTGAAGCAGGTAGCATACAAGGTGAGCCTGGGGGGTCACCATGCCCCATGTCCAGCCGCACATGAGCCCGCAACGCCCCAGGGATGATGTGACAGATGCAAGTAAGCCACCAGATCCTCATTTACCCAAAAGGCCATTTCTGGAAAAATTAGGTGTTTTGAGAGAGTATGTGATGCCAAGTGGTGCAGACCTTCCAGACAGAGATGTTTAAAATTCCCAGCAGGTTGATGCCCTCCTCACTGCCTTCCTCCCATCCCACAATGGCTGGTCTCCTCCTGCCTGTCCAGGCGCTGCCAGGGGATCCCCTTCACCCCTGGTGCTGAGCACTCCCCTGCTCAGGATGCTGCCTGGGAGGAGGATGGGCCATCAATGAGCCTTTCCAGTAGCCCAGCTCCTGTGACACTGTCCAATGCCTGTGCCTGGCAGGACTGGAATTGTCAGAGAAGAAAGGAGGAGTGCCAGTGGCCTTGGTCCCCACAGACACCAGTACAGGTTGCCCAGAGAAACTGTGAATGCCCCATCCCTGGGAGTGTTCAAGGCCAGGTTAGATGGGGCTTTGAGCAGCCTGGGCTGGTGGAAGGTTTCCCTGCCCATGGCAGGGTAAGTGGAACCAGATGATCTCTAAATTCCCTTCCATCCCAAACCATTCTAGGATTCTATGACTGGACTCTTGCCCTGCTCCTGAGCTGTAGGCAGCCTGCAGCCTGGCCTGCTGACCTTCCTGTCCCCAGGGTGAAGCAAGGATTTACAACTCTAAGGATTTTAGTTTTGGCTGTGATCTGCAGCCTCTTGGCAGTTAAGTTTTTGCAATTACTGTTGCCCACTGCTTCATCCAATTTAGACTCTCTCTAATGACTTAGCCCCCCCCACAAAAAAACAAACACTCCAGAATCAGGGAGGAGATGGTGCATTAACAGTAAGAGCTGGAGGGAAGATAGGGCTCTGCTGGAACCCACTGAGATCAGCTTATTGCAGTGTTGCAAATGAAACCTCAAGTAGGTCCTAGCATGGCTGGAAAAGGGAAGCATTTGCAATCAGAGAATCACAGAATATTGTTAGTTGAAAAGTTGGAAGGGAACCACAATGATCACCAAAGTCCAACTCCTGCTCCTGCACAGGAGAGTCCCAAGAGGCACACTCCTGAGTGTGACTGAGAGTGTTGTCCAAATACTTCTTGAACTCAGACAGGCTTGACATGACAGCAATGTGATATAATCAATTACTAAACACCCCAACAGTGCACACTCAGAAAGCAAGCCACAAAACTTGCTACTTCTCCTTTTTTAGCTTTTTCTTGCGTTGTTCTGATTTTCCTCAGGGCACTGATTAGGGAACTTCATGTCCCAGCCTGGCTGCTGCAGGCCATTGCAGCAGCAGCAGGGTGGGTATCACAGGGTTTTGGGCTCTGGTCATTCCCTGCCAGACGCTCAAATGGAATCTGAATCATTGCAGATCTGTGGTCAGTGCTTCCCCTTCTGTGGTCTCCTTGATCTCTCCAGCTCAGCAAAACTGGGCAATCCTGGCATAATTTCTCTGGAATGGTGAACTCATTTTTTCTCCTTTAATCTCTGTTGGAATAGAAGGAGGACAGTGGCAGCAGGGGCTGAGCATTGTGCAGAGGAGATTCCTGCTGCCATCCCAGCTCCAGGTCTGTTGGCCCCACCATGGTCCCCATGCCTGTTGTCTGGCACTGCACAGGCCAGTAAGCCCCCAGGGATGCTACGGCAGAGAGCTGCAAGTAACCCATCAGATCCTTATTTATGAGAAAAGGCTCATTTCTGCAAAAATCCAGGATTATGTGTCTTTATTGGTGTTCCAGTCTCACCAGCCAGGCAGCTTACCTGGGCAAGGGCTAACAGGGCTCCCTGGGGACATGTGACACTGACACCAGCTGCCTCTGTGCCATCCCCAGAGGGGCTGCATCTGCCAGCTTCAGGACACCTCAGGTACCCACCAGGGCCAGCAATGACCCAAAACTTCCACCCTAGGATCATCGTTGTGGCTTCCCTTGACTCACTTTAAAAGGTCTATGTCCTTCTTATGTTGGGGACCCCAGACATGGACACAGTATTCCACCTGGGAGTTTTTAATCCTCTTTGGTCTGTAAAACAGCAAAGTCATTCTGCAAGAGCACCTCAGGGTTTGAGGGAAGTCTCTCTCTTTTGCAGGTCCTTGCCCTTGCAAGTTTCCATTCTTCCACACTGATCCCCCTCCCTTCTGTGTGTGCCATCAGGAGAGTTTCTCTGTGTGTCATCAGGGGAGTTTCTGGCTGTTTGGCTGCAGGCAGTGCATGTAGCCTTCTCACTGCCTCCTGCAGCTCAGCCACCTGCTGGTGGAGGTCCTACACCTGGGCACACCTTCACATCATCTGTGGGCAGGTCTGTCCATGCCCCAGGAGAAATGTCTTGGCACTTCCTCCAGCCTGAGGTCTGCACTGCCGTCTCTCTCCTCAGCATCTCCATTTGGGTGGAGGCATCAGACACCACAGTGGTAGATGGTGCAGGCCCCTCAGTCAGAGCTGTAGCCTTTGCTCTCAGACGACTGCCCACCATTTTGCTTTGGAGTTCAGATAGGATAAATGCCCTCGATCTGTGCAGGAGGTCACAGAACATGCTCAGTTGCTTGGTTATGTGGACTTCAAGTCTCTCCACTCAGCCAGTGGAATGCCCCATCTTCCAAGAGGTGCCCTTTTGCTCCCTAGGTCTGTCTTTTGTGGCAGTGGGGGTGGCTCCATGATTCGTGGTGCACCCACGATTCTTCAGCCACTCTTGGGAGAGTTACCAGCCCCAGGTGACCCGGGTGGGTCACTGTACCTCCCTGCAGTTTCCCTGGCTCAGGACCCTCACAACCTTCCATTCCACTGTGAGATGGGCCTTCCACAGAGCTGTTTGCCTAGCAAAAATCATGACATTTTTGTTTATTTTATTGCATGTAAATACATGAGTCAAAAGAGGTCCTGACCTGTAGATCTTGCTTCAGCCAGAGGACGACCACAAAGGTGTCCTTCCTGTGCTATTTTAATACCAATCCTACAGCAGCAGGTAGGAAGTGTGTCCCAGGATGACATTCTTATTAATCCCTTGCATGCTGTATTTCAGACACCTTCTCCTCAGTATAAGACATGTCCAGTACAAGAGTAGGGCAGCACTGGGTTACCCCTCTGTGCCAGCTGCACATAGGTGGTACTTGTGTTAATTTCAAAATATTGTTCCTCTCTCACCTAATGGTTTGTTTCTATATCTAAAAGATAGCAGATGTAGATTGCTGACTTCTGTAAGGTCAACAATGAGAACTCATGTTAACTGAAACAACTTATTTACCTTCATAGATCCAGCAGGAAAAGGCCAAATAAAAAGAGGTTAATTCCCAATCCCAGAAGGCAATTCCCGAATGCCCCCACCAGTCCACACTCAAAAAGCAAGCCACAAAACTTGCTACTTCCTCCCTGATTTTCCTCAGGGGTTTGGTTAGGGGGGTTTTGGCTCTGCTTGGCTCTCAACCAGTGGGATCACTGCTGCAGCAGCAGCAGGGTCGGTGTCACAGGGGTTTAGGCGCTGGACAATCCCTGTCAAGCACCCAAATGGAATCTGAAAGTCAGAGCCGCACAGCCTGTGCTTACCCTTCTGTGGTCTCCTTGACTTTTCCAGCTCAGCAAAACTGGGCATCATTTCCCTGGTATGATGCACTCATTTTCTCTCCTTGAAACTCAGGGGGAATAGAAGGAGGGGAGCAGCAGCAGTGGCTGAGCATCGTACAGCAGAGAACTCTGCAGCTACTCCAGCTCCACTTCCACTTGTGTCTCCTCAGCCCCTACAGCACCACAAAGTCCACCACTAAACCATGTCCCTAAGCATAACATTTACATATCTTCTAAATGTCTCCAGGGATGGTGACTCCACTACTTCCCTGGACAGCCTGTTCAGCCCTTTCAGAGAAGAAACTTTTCATAATATGCCCTGGCTCAACTTGAAGCCATTTGCTCTCCTCCTGTCACTTGTTACTTGGGAGACTAACCTCCACCTCACTTCAGCCTCCTTTCGAGTGGTTGCAGAGAGCAATAAGTTCTCTCCTCTGCCTCCTCCTCTCCAGGCAAAACAAACCCAGCTCCCTCAGCCACTCCTCCTAAGGTTTGTTCGCTCTTGAATCTGAAAGTCGCAGACCTGTGGTCAGCAGTTCTTCTTCTGTGGTTTCTTTGCCTTCTCCAGCTCAGCAAAACTGGTTGATCCTTACATAATTTTCCTAGAATGATACACTTATTTTCTTTCCTTGAAACTCCACATCTACCCAGTGGCAGGGGTATAAAAGGAGGTCAGCAGCAGCAGGGGCCAGGCATTGTGCAGAGGAGAGCCCTGCAGCCACCGCCGCTCCAGCCTCACTCGTGGTTCCCTCAGCTCTCCCAGCACCATGAAGGTCCTTGCAGCTACCGTGGCTGTTCTGCTCCTTGTGGCCATCTGCTCCCTGGCTGAGGCTGCTCCTGGAGACTCCAGTATTGGCACACCATTCCAGCAGCGAGGTATGCTCTCCTTCTCTGGGAGAGAGCCCCATCCCTATTGATGGGACCCTTGTGTCCATGGGGAAGGCTGGGAGCAGATGGTCATCATCAGTGCAGGGACTCAGCCTCAGAGGTGGAGGCTTCCAGGGGTTGTCCCCGGAGGATACAGCACAACTGATGGCAAATCCCCTGGGAGCCACAGGCAGAGCCTCTCTCACTGGGGCTGTCTCTGCACCCTCACAGACATCATCCCCACCTCCTGCTGCTTAAAGTACGTGTCACGTGCCGTTCCACGCAGAATGATCGTCTCTGCCCACTGGACCAGTGACACCTGCCCACAACCAGCTGTGATGTGAGTACCCAGCACTGCCAGGGGTCAGGGGGCAACAGCCAGGGCAGCACCCCAAGGATGTCCAAGGGTGCATGGGAGGGACAGGGACACCCAGGGCGCTGCCAGCAGGACCCAGTGCAGGCACCCTGCTGTCCAGGTTGAGCACCTCAACACTGCTTTTTCCCTGACAGCCTGGTCACCAGGAACGGGAAGGCACTGTGTGCAGACCCTGAGGCACACTGGGTGCAGCGATATCTGAAGCACCTAGAGGTACAGAAGAATTGACTCTTCCCCACTGCTGCCCCAGTGCAATGAACTCAGCCTCCAGCACCAGACAAGGAACAAGAATGCTTGAGCTGCATCCCTCTTCAATGGGAAATTTTATTACAGTCTACATACATTCGCAAACTAAATTTTGCTTGCTAGAGTGAAAATACAAGAGCTATTAACATGCCTAAATAAAGTGTTTGGTTTGTCAGACCCTGTGTGTGTCTCTGAAGTACCTACTGGAGCCCTGGCATGACAGAAGGGACTCACGGGAGCTCCTCGCCCTCCCCACTCCATGGTTCCACTGCTCCCCCTGTGCAGTGTCCCCATGACAGCTTCCACAGTACTTCTCCCTCCCCAGCTTCAACTCAGCTCCTGCTTCCCAGCATGACCCAGACATACCTGCGGGGTGACACCACCACCTCACCCATTTTTTGGGACCTTCCTCACACAGCACATGGGGAGCCCAGTAGCAACCCTCCTGGGCCAGGCAGCCCCACTGAACATCTGCCACCAGCTCAGTGACATATTTGCCCCAAACACCGGAGGATCAGGACAGTCTTCGACTGCACTGACATCCCCACTCCTAGACGTTGCTCCCAGCCCCTGACACCATCTCTGTCCTCACCCCATTGCCCAGCTCTGGGGAAGGGAGTGGGACATCTCTGCAGCTGACACCAGCTCTGCCCCAGGGCCACTCTGTGCCCTGAACCACTTCTGCTTGGGCCAGGAAACACAGAACAATGCCAAACAGTCACTTGACACAGATGTAAGGGCACCGGAGAATGAGATCCAACAAGCCAACATAAGCAAACTAATGGTGCTGCAGCCCTTCTCTATTTCTAAAATATTCCACAGTGTAGCACAAAAACTCAGGCAAACAAATGCATAAAGCTGTGCACAAGTACACTCAACACAAGAAGAAGGGTGGGAACCTGTAAGAGTTTATATAGCATGGAAGTTGAACTTCTTTGCAGGGAGCCTGAAAACTCAATCAATACTTCAAATGGCAAACAAGACAAAAACACCTACTACAAAGAGATTCACCATTACATATATTCACTGTATTAATAAGAATAAAACAAGCTCTAAATCCTAAAATTGATGTGTAGAACTCCACAAGATTTGTGCAAGGCTGATGGGTTTCTTTCCCCACCACTGTTTTGCTGTACTTCAATATGTACTTCAATGCTCACTTCAGTTGCTCTTCAATGCAACATATATTGCAATGCCTTTACCCACTTGTGACATTTAGTCTTACAGCAACAGCTTCTAGGTTAGTACCACTGAGAATCTCTGAGTTGGGAAAATGTGGAAGAGAAAAGAGACTTTTATATTGCTTACAAGGCAAAAATGAGAGTCCACTAAAAATCCTCCCTGGGGCATTGTTTTCTGAAATCTCATTATAATTTAGGCAATCTATTTGTTCTTATAGAACTGATTTATAATGCATGAAGGTTTGGTGTTGACAGTACCTACTACAGAGCTTGGCTTTTATTTGCTCAAGGTCATACATCAGATCTGAGGTGAATTTACGAAGTGACCTTTTGCCTCCACCACCAGTCAGTGTCATGAAAGTAACCCGACCACTACCTTGCTAAACAAATTCAACATAAAATTGTCCAGCTATGCTGAAAAACCTGTACTACACAAGCTTTGAAGTGTGCAGAAGAGGATTCATCAAGAAGACAAGAGAAGGAACATCTTTAGTCATTGCCTTCCCCTCGGAAACACCCATGGAGTTTGCTGTGTATCTCCTGCACTTCTTGCATAGCAGTATTATATTTTAGTGCATTTTCTTAAAACTGGGGAGGATATATACCAACCCTGGATTAAATATTGGGCATTTTCACGGCATCATGGGGGATTTTTTCTAAATAAAGCTTGACTTAATCCTCTCCAAAGATTTCTTGTTGCCCACTGCACCTCTCGGCTGGCTCGTGGAGGAGGAAGCACTGCGGTGGGAGGTTGGCAGCATGCAGGACAGGCTCCTGCCCAAGAGCCGCACTCTGGGCACAGACCACCAAACTCAGAGCCATTCCCCCAGTCAGCCCCTCGATAACAACACAGTCTACTTGTTACTGCATTTCTCACAATCCTCCTTCTCCTCGCACCATCATCCCTCTCTGCTGTCCCGGCTAGAGATGCCCTGAGCTGACTTTTCTTTTTTTGTCTGCTCTTGAACATTGTGCTAATATCTGGAAACTTCGTTTGATCGAAATCAGTGGCGTTCAAACACACCCGTGTCCTTTTCCTCGCACAGCTGACAGCAACACCTCGCTGAGAGCGCGCGGGACAGCGTTCGCTGCAGTCACTACAGGCTGGGGGAAAAGAAACCCGCAGAAACTGCCACACTCAGCATATTTTGTGAAGCAAGCACTCAGGAGAATGACACAAAGCGCTGGATTTTCGACCTAAACTGGTTGGACTCCCAACCGGTTTTCCAGCACCGACATCCCCTCCCTGGCAGAGGGGAGCGCGGAGCATCTCGGGACTTGTAGTTCCGGTGCGGCGCGACATGGCGGCTCCGCGGGCTCTGGCGGCTCTCGCCGCCGCGCTGCTCCTCGCTGCCGCCGGGCAGGCCAGCAAGTACTCCCGGGAGGCCAACGAGGGGCTGGCGGCCGCCGGCGGCAAGCGGCGGGAGGCCGGGGAGTTCCGGGTGGTGAGGCTGAACCAGATCTGGGAGAAGGCGCAGCGGGTGAGTGGGGCGGCGCGGGGCGATGGCGGCGCCCGTAGCGGGACCAGGGGTCGGGCCCGGCCGCTTCGGACACTCATTCCCTGTCAGCCGCCTGGAGATGGAGTACGGGGAGCTGTGTTTGATGAGAGGCCGAGGCTGCCCGGTGCTGGGCCGCCGGGCTGCGGTGCCTTTTGTTGGGTTCTCGGCCGTGGCTGTCCCCGTCCGGCAGCGCAGGGACCCGCTCCGTGGGGGCCGTGCCGGCGGCGGGGAACAGCCGTGCTGTGCAAGGTGTTCCCTCGGCAGATGAGATGTGTACCTCTGTCCTGGGAAGTGTTGCTCTTCCCGTGTTTAAATCTTGCAGTTAAGCCACACGGCCAGGAAGTTGAAAGAGGGAGGGAAGTCCCTCTGGTGCCATGGCGGATCTGAGCCTGGCTCCGGTGCTGGTTGAATGCTTTGGCCCTGTCGGTCAGGGCTATGATGCTCTTATCTGTCTGAAGGCCTTAGTTCCTATTCTACATAGGACAGGAGCTCACGGAGAGAGGAAGAAACCCTCTACCTTGCTGGTTGTGTCACCTTCATTCACACGTAGTGATGTAGATACATGCAGGAGGACCAACAAATGGATATCACCATTCCCAGATGAGAGCCTTAATTTTGACAGTGATACTTGAGTTTCTCTCGTTTTGAGCTATGAAAAAATATTTAATTAAAGTGAAAATACAGTAAAAATATTTAATCACAGTGGAAGTATTTTATTAGAAATAAGCAGAACAGCTCCAACAGGAGAAGAGCACACTGCACATATCCCCTGAATATTGTGGACCATGGAAATTAGGGTCATGACTGGCAATGGTTCAGTTCTTTCAGGCAAAGAAATATAGTTAATATTAATTCTGGATCTTCTATATCCTAAATAGACATTCCTCAGCCTGAGCTACTGAATTAGAGGTAGGGCACCCCTGGGTTTAGTCAAAAACTAGAACCCTGCCATAACTGCTGCCTCCCAATGTGCCAAAAGAAGGTATCAAAAATACTCCTTCCCTCAATGGGAGAAGGATTGAATGGGGCATAGGGCAATGTGTGTGAATGGAACTTCAGCTGTGAACTGACAGCTGAAGAAGAAACAACATGGAGACTAGAAATAATCTATACTAGTATTGTCAGTTTGCTCTTACCTTTCCAATTACAGTCTTTTTTAATTTTCATACCTGGATCTTCTGGAATTAAAATTTAAGATGCTTTACATCACCTACAGTAAGATACTAAACTATAAAATGAAGTTAATTCTGTCAGTAAAGAACTAAGGTTTAGTAAATTCTGTGTGAGCCAGATTTTAGAGATGCAGCACCTACTTGAACTAAATTTGCCACCTTCAAAATTCCACCTTTGAGTACAACTGACACACAGTCTGTGTTTTATAAAGCGATTTTTCAGTATGTCTGAGCAATATATGAAATAAGAGGAAAACTCTGTGTGTTACACCTGCGTTGAAATATTTGCATGTGCAAATGCTGAACTCTCCTTCCTTCATTTTGGTAGTGGTAGAGATAGTACTGAAAACAGGGAACTTCTCTGTTGTGACGTAAAAGATAGATGCTGCAATTCAGCATTGCAACAAACAGCAGGATGAGCAGTCCTTAAGAAAGCCCCAAAACTTAGTGGGACCAGGAGCTGGCAAGCCAGAGTTCCTTCTTGTTTCCCTGAGAGTGGGAGGGAGGGTTTGATCTTTCTCCAGCATCTCTTTTCATAGGTATATGCTTTATATAAAAAAACTAAAAAGTCATTTTATTACAAGAGTTCTGCTTAGTCAGAGCCTAATTCTGCAGTTGTTTGAACCAGTGGCAAATACTCTAGGTTTTTTTGTGTGTGGTTTGGCCTGCTGGTCTTTAGCAGCCCACTGTGCTGTGACTGTTGCCATTGGTGCTGTTCCAGCATCACTTGTTAAGGAGCTTCCTGGCCTTCCCAAAGCAGCACTGGGCTCCAGCATCTGGGTGATGTTACACCTAAAAAATTTGTAGTGAAGAACTCTTTTCCTCTCAGAAGCAACGGTGTAGGTAATGATGTTGCAGGTAATGATTGTAGCCAGGCAAACAGCAAATGACTTAATTGTTGTAATGTTTGACAAATTTCCAGCAGTCATTCCCAGAACTGCCAGGTACCTAACTTGGATGTTAATGTCCAGGCAGCATAAGGAATGAAGAGTAAGGAATGAGTGTAAGGACCTTGTTGCTTTGTTATTTAATCATTAAACTTAGCCTTGCACCTCTCCTTCTAGTTAGTTATTCCAGCATATAGATGGAAGTAAAGTCCACTAACACCTTATTTCAGATGTTAGTAAAGTGAGGAGAATTCTTACCCGTTGACATTTTTCACTTGGTGTTTTTTAGGGTCCTAAGTGAGATGACCTTGAAGGAAGCAGTTCTTGAGCTAGATACTTTAAATTAGTTTATGTGTTCACTCTGTGTTACATAAATGAGACAGGCAAGGGGCTTCCAACAGGTTTCAAAGGA